AACGGACACATTGAAGATGGTAATGTGCCGAAAGGGAGATGCATTCCAATGGACAGCGAGAAGGCGCATCAATCGTTCGTCGGTGGTGAGAGGAACCGTGGGAGCGGGGAGAGCGGCAACAGTGTCCATGTAGGTCGGGGCACTATTGTGGTCCTCTGCTCCATTTTCCGCACTGGTCCTCCCACGGTGGGTGTGGGCTATCGCAACGTCGTCAGCTGGGAGACTAGCTTCCTGTGTTCCTGTTGGGGTGCCGGCAATGACATGGACGGCGTCAGACAGGATCACTTGTTGGCGAGGAGGGGTGGCATCTGAAGGTGGAGTTCGTTGGAAGGGGTGGGAACGACCCTTTGGTGGCACCAGTTCCGTTTGCATCTGGACAGAGGGAGACGGGCGCGAATCGTGTGCCTTGGCACCTTTTGGATTCTCTGGAGTCGATGCAGGGCGCTTCTTGGACTGGGCTTGGGCTATTTTCGATTCTCTTTCTAGTCGCTCGAATTCCTCCACAATGGGAGGAATAATGGCCGGGCCTGTCCAAGGATGAGCAAAGAATTCGGATGCCGCTAGCCACATCCAAGTCAACGGCTCGGCGCGTTGAACAATTAATGTCGGGTCGAATTCCCAAAAGCGAGGCGACTTTTCGTCAGTTTTGATAACGCGTTGGGCTGTAGCGAGATCAAACACAACCGTGGGGCACTGTGTCGCGAGGCGAAGAAAGTACTCGCGAAGGGACCAGGAACCTTCGTCGTCGTCGGCGTCTTCAAGGTCGCCAAGAGAAAACAGATTTTGCATGCTGGACCGAAGCTGTGGCATCGAACCACCAAGTGATGGGTTGTACGCCTTCAATCCATACAGGATTAACGCAGCGATCTCGTCGTAGGAATGAGAATCGGCTTGGTCCGTACTGGCTTCAGCCCACCAGCCGGGCCATTTGGATATTGCCTGACCAAAGTGTTCCGCGGTGCGAGAGGACCAGGTGATAAATGCTTGGTTCCCAAAAACCTCTAAACTTGGACACCTTGAGTTTCTTGGTGTACGCAACAAGCGGTCGTCCTTGCACTGCGCCGTCCTTGGCGGTTTTGGAAGGAGGGGGTTGCTTGCGTTGGCTCTTGGAAATCATGGTGTCAGGATTA